AAAAAAAAAAAAAGAAAATTATATTAAATGGTTGGTTATTTTAAAGGAAATATGCCAAATTATTGTTACTATATATGATTATTTATGTGAGAATTAGATTAATTTAAATCATTGTGTGAAATAAGTACTTATTTGTTTAATATAATTATGCATGGTATTTGTTAAAAAAATATATACACACACTAATACATACATTGACGATGTTATATAAATATTGGATATTCATGTTCTAATGTTACGTGTAATAAAATGTTTATTTGCTTAGCCATTTCCATATGTGATGTTTGTTAAAAATTTATATTTCTCTTAAGATTTGTGAAATTAAAAAAATAATGGCAATTTAAATGTGAATGATCTTTGGCACTCGACGACCATCAATCGAAGACTCTAAGGCATGTAAAGTGGTAAGAAGAAGAATTTAATTAAATCTTTTGAAATGCCTACGTTAAATTCTTAAGACGTGCAGTTTGTTTTCTAGCTCAATTTATGATATATATTACGACAATATATGTAAAACATGCACCTAACCCTTGATTTGAACTTTATGTCAAAAACAGTTTTGTACAAGTAGCTTAATTCTAAAGAATTTAATATAAAACTGAAAGAAGCATGCCTTCTTTTCAGTTACTATGCTTACCCACCCCTTCTATATAATTTAACACTCAAAATGGTAACGCAAGTTTGAAAGGGGAAAAAGAAAGAAAACCTGTGAAAGTAAAAAACTTTCTTGGTGGAGCATTTGTTTTCTTGTTACCCTTTGCTTTAGATAAGACTTTTCTTTATTGACAAGTTACTTTTAGAATGTATGTTTGTTTGAGGGTCAATGCCAAGGCGAAAAGTAGTCCACAACTACGTGGAAAATGTTTATTATACATCACTATTTACAGATTGATGACATGCCAATAAATTAAATTAAAACTCTCAAAATCTCTCCATCGCTTAAATGGTTATACTTATGTAATGTGGGTTAATGGCAAAAGAAATTGGAGGGTCTTTTTATTTTTTTGGTTGACGTGACTTTGACTTGGTGAAAACTTGTCACATTATCTGTTGATAAATAAATATGTAAGTCATGAAGTGCATTAACACAATCGCATGTACATATTTTGCTACAATCATGCTACGCTTACACTTTGTTGACATCTTTGTTCACACTGTGAGACATGACAAAAAATCTAGTAATTTATTTAAATAATAATTATTCAAATCAATAGTCAAAATTTTTACCCATCACATAATGTCAACAACAATGTACAATTTGAATATACAAATAACACTATCCATTTTGCTATTCGATCTCGTAAAGCACGTTCGAGTTGATCAATTTTGAGCAATGGGCTACTTGGCTCAGCCAATGCATGCAGCCATGCAAGCGACACGCCATTTGCTTGCATTGTCCCATAGTTTTCGATTCTTGGGGGTCATCGTGTTAATTTTGAACTCAAGTTATTCAATTATTAATGAATATATTTCACCAATTGAATCAACACCTCTAAAACATAGTTCCGATTTGTTTTTAGTACTTTTGAGCATTTTGATATGTTTGTTCATTTTTTTGTAGTTTAAATAATTTGATGAAAAATGCGTATAATGGATCTTGGAATGGAATTAAATTGTTGATCATGAAAGTGGATATGGAATGAAGATGAAAGAAGAGAAGAATGTAGTAGAAAATAAGCCAGAACATGAGGCGGACGAAGTGAAGGAAACATATGGGTGCCACGATAATGCATGTGGGCGCCAAGAAGCAACTCAGAATCAACAGAGTGATGGACACTGACCAAAAAATAGCAGAACTGCTAGTGCTGGGATCCAACATAGACTCTGTGGCACCAGCAAAGGTGTCCATTGCGACGTCGCGGCATCGTACACGGATTTGATTAGTCAAAACTTGAGAATATAATTTGATTTGATTTGATTTGATTTTAGTTATTTCTGTAAAAAAAAATTCTTTCCGTTTATTTGTGTTATTGATTTAATGCTTTCAATTAATTGGCCAATAATTGAGTTATTAGATGCTAGTCAATTTCGACACTCGAGAGAGTGGAATTTAGACGCAATCATAAAAATAACATAGCCCAGATTTTATGAATTTTGAGAGAAAGTATAGAATTTATGAAACTTGTTCCATTTAAGAACCACAATTTTGATAAATTTTTATCTTAATTCAGAATAAAGATATCTGAATTAATTTCTATGATTAATTTTTACCCGACATTCGAGAGAGGGGGTAGAATTACATTAGAGTTTGTAATACCCCAACTTTCATAAACATTGGAGTGTTACAAAAAAAAAATTATTTTCTGCACGTTTAAAGCGGAAACGATACAAATAAAAGTAATTCATTTATTTTCAACAATAAATATCAATTAAAACATGGAATTTGAGTTTTTTTTTAAAAGTAGAAGAAGAACTAACATAATCAACTTACTAATTAACAAACATGTCTTTGAAGGAAAAAAAAAACTAACTAATAAACTGGAAGATAAAAAAAAAATTAATGTGTTTATTTCTTCAAATCCTCTTGGCAGTTCGTATTACCATCATGTCACAGATACAATCGATCTGAACTAACCTGAAAATTATTATAATAGTAAGTATTTAAAAATACTCAATAAGATACGTGCAATTTCTAGAGACAATTATATAACAATAAAATAAACACTTCATACCACATTTCTTATGGAGTATATCGATAACCAAACACACCCATCAGTACTATTTTGAATTCCCGAAAAATTTTACATTTCGTTATAAAGAACTCAATAGAGTTCACATTTCATTAGGTCGAACCCGAAGATCCACTGAAAATTCATGCATAAATTACTGAATATAAAAGCATATGCAAACAAACCACTTACATAAAAGTATCTTACCTCATTTATTGAAAGATTGTAAAATATACACGTCAAATTCGTTTTCTTTTCCTTCATCTCTCTCTACCTTTGATTTCTCACTACCGTTTATGTATAATATCTTGCAGTCAATAATGAGGCATCTGACACGACATTTTATCGTTGAAAATACCATAAAGTTTTTGGTACAATGAGTATCCCACTAGTCAAATAGTTCTCACTTTAGGGTCATGATTATCTTCGAGTCATAATTACCCATTCAATATGAAATGTTTATAGAACACACGACAACTTTTGAAATGGGAAAAATAGTAGACAAATTGAAAGAATGCAAAAGGCAGTGTTTGGATTATACTTTATTAACAAATCATAATCATCTAAAATAGGACACATGCATGTACTTTAATTGGAAGTTAGTATTTAGATAGCTTACAAATGGGGCTTATAGATTTCCAATACAACTTTAATAGATGTAATAAGAGTTTTGGAAAGGAAAAAAAAAAAGAAGAAGAAGAAGAAGAAGAAATAGATTAGTTTATTTGGGATTAAGACTTTATCATAAATCAATTAATTACCTAAAACTATCTACATCAGGGCTGTAGTAGTTATAATCATGATTTTTTTTTCGATCGACTCCAAGTTATCCAAAATAACTTTTTCTCAAACCTAATTTACATTATTTAATGTGATCTATTCAACAAGCTCAATATTGATATACTAAATCTCGCTCTATCAATATTTAATTATATGACTCAAATAAAGTAGGAATTTAAAACATATTTCATTTGAGTCCTCATTTCTTTCACAATATTAAAAATATAGCATATAAAACAAATAATATTTTATTCTAAATTTTTCAAGGTGTGAAGGGTTTTTGCTTGTAAACATGAAAAATTGATTAGAAATAACTAGTTGTTTAAATTCATATTTGATAATTAGGTGAAATCATAACACTAGGTATTCTCATCTTAATTATTCTACTAAATTGCATTGATATCGTTGAACTTGTCACCATATTTATCATTAGATTAATTTAAAACCATTGATTTTATAATTTGATTGTCTAGAAATTAAATATCAATCTTTGTGGATTCAACGTCCTAACTGCATTATTATATTACAAAACTTAACACTTTAGACTTGCGGCATATTTACGTTGTATAAAACGCGTAACAATTATTCTAAATTAATCAATGACAAAAATATTTCTTATGTAGATAAAACAAGTTTAAGAAGTATTTATAAATAGTTTAAATTATAAATAAATAGAAATTTATGATGAATAAATAAGTAATAGTTGTAAATCCCACAAAATATGTAGATAAAAAGTAGTTTCATCGATTATAAATATTAGCCAAACATGGGCTGAGTACTCAAACTGAAATTGACCTTCAATTATGGAAGGACAATATGAAAGCATGGGATTATGAAAATTATCCAAATTCAATCAATTATCAATTTGTGCACTTTCACCCTCAATCTTGACATACAATAAGCAATTTGACTAAAAATCCACGTCCAACTACATGTGCATGTAAGGATCTGAAGCTTACTCAACATTTTTAAGTACATAAATTCAATATGAAGATCGGCAATGAAGAATGAGTTACAAATTCGAGTTTCATAAGAAACTCGAGAGTTAAACACCATAAAGGCAATTGCAAGCTAACCATGTAACCTACATGTGCTTCTTTTCCGAATTCGAACCTACGTGTAACTATTGGACAATACCAGAAGAAAATATGATCCAAGGACTTCAGAATAAGAAGTCATCAATCAATTCATCAACCAGAGAAGTTAATATTCTATTTTCAATCTCTACGCCTTCTTCAAATGCTTCGATTTCAAACTCGACCCATCTCCCATCTTTGGTACTCATGTCCTTGTCCACAACCTCATCCACCATTAGCTCGTCCATCTTTGTCCAACTTGATATCTCTCTGTACAATTCTTCTGCCAACCATTCCTTCCTTTGGAAAAGCATTGTCTGCTTAGTCCATGCTTTGCAACTTCCAGCAAAAAGCTGTCTGCTTCTGAGTTCTAGACATTCACACACGCAATCAAACACTACCTTTCGCTCAAGCATGAAGAATTCTTCTTTATTCTTATTTAACTCCATGATTTGATTCTCTAACTGATCGAATAGATCTGGAGGTACTATCTTGTGCGCCTGACCTAGAGCAAATTCCTGCAGCATTAATCCTGCACTGCTGCTAAGCATATCTATAATATATCGTAATTGCCATGGGGATGACTCCTTCAAATTTGTAGAAGGAAATAACGTGGATGAAATAGTTCTAGATATAGTCCCAAAAGACAAAGATGAGGCAGTATCTGATAAATCGACATCTCCTTCTATTGGGTGAGATTTCCTTGCTGAGCTCCAATCTGTCACTTCATCAGATTCAACTGAAAAACACCGCAGGCCACCTGAAGTTTCAGTTTATTTTCATTAGAATGTGAAATGATGCATAGCATAATTGGTAGCAGATGACTCTATGATGTGAACTAATTATCTTAAAAGTAAAGACCCGTGCAAGTTCATCTTCGCACTGAACGTGCATATTGGCCTTAGGGAAAGTGCTATGTGTACTGGGCATCAACCCAGGGCTGACATATGAATGCAAATATTCTGTCTATCAACTCAAAGAAAAAAGTTCTCAACAAACTCTAAAAAAAGAGTTCAGGAATTACCGAAGCTGTTGAAGTCTCTATTTCATTAGAAGATCTTTTACTAGGGTTGGACATGGTTCGGTTCGATTCGGTTCTAAAAAGAACCGGACCGAAATTTTCGTGTATTTAGTAAGTGGAACCGACGGGTCCAAATTTAATTATGGAACTATTCGGATTCGGTTCCATTTGGTTCGGTTCGGTTCCCAAGTTCCATACATTAATTAATTTTTTTATATTTACAACAACGCTACATTAATTCGACTATGACATGTTCAATCTTAACTCTTACAAAATAACATAGTCTCATCTGGTGATATCTTTTGCACATTTCTTTGTTGAGTTCTTAATAGATTTGATTGTTAAAATCACAAGAAGATGAAAATAGTAAGTTCATAATAATAGAACTGCAGAAACAACATTACGGTAGAATAAGATATTTGAGTAAAATTAGGTCAATTTGATTAAGTTGGGTTTGGCTGAAAATTGAAAATAGTAAAATCATATTTTAGGTTTGAGCTCAATTAATTAGTTAGCAAATTCATTTAGAAAAAAATAAAATAATTTGACTTATTTAAGATAAAAAAATAGGGAGATTCGGTTCTTTTTCGATTTTTCGGTTTTAGGCCTAGAACCGAGAACCGAACCGAAGCCATCGGTTCTTGATTTCGATACCAGTTCAGGTATTTAATTTAAGAAGAACCGCTCGATTCGGTTCAGGTTCGGTTTGATTTGGGAGTTTTGTCCAGCCCTATCTTTCACTCTCCTGCCCTATACACTTATGGCTTGTTTAGTAATGTGAAATATACCGTATTGGAAAGTATTAAGAAAGAAAAAGAAGTTAAAGTTTGCATTATTCTATCCTGACATGTCTAATACTGCACATTGAACGTGTGTTCTTAACGCTTCAGTTCTCCTGAAATAGAGTGTCTGAGAACCGTGAATGGCATACCTAGTGAATTTCCAGAAGTAAAAAATAAGGGCACAAAGCAGTCACAGTTGATCAAGGAAGTAACAGATGGTCACCATCCTTACAAGCTTTCTTATGCTTAAAACATCAGTGCACGCTGAGTTTCTTTCTACTTAAATAGTTTCCAGTCAAAATAACTTCACAAAGACTTGGTTCTATTCTATCCATGATCTTGAACCTTTTGTAATAGCAGCATCTTTTTGAGTATGTTAGAAAATATTCCCAATGCATGCTCACATCCTCCAGTACTTATCACCGTGATAAAATTCCCCAAAAGAATAAATAAAGAGGATTAGTAATCTTACCATCATTTGTGAAACTTCTGTCACCTCCGAATGAGTCACAACTTGATCCTGAGATAGAAGGCTCCAGACTAGATGCTGGGCTAGACCTCAAAATGTTAAGATATCTTTCATGTTCAGTGTTGCTACCATTGCTATACTCCTGCTTGTCCAGTGATCCCTGCAAATGAACAGAAAGTGAGCAAACTGACATGAATTGCATACAAAATTACAAATAGATGAAAACTCAACCAAGATAGGATTTCACAAAAATTTCTGAGCAAATGGGAGATTAACAAGGGGGAACGAACCCGTAAGTTAAATAAGTTTTATGATCCCACTCACCATTGAGGGCCGTATGCTCTAAAACGGACAAAGAAAAGGCAGAAGATGTGAAAGAGGGCATCCAACCAAAGATTGTAGTCGGGTTTGGCCTCCCCAGAATTTCAAATAGTTGTTGGGACAAGAACTTTATTTTCTAATTTGCTATCGTGCAATTTTCAGTAACTTCAGATTTTGTACAGTAGTTCTTCTTCTAACAAAATTTCTGGTTATGTCCTCCTATTCTGAACTAAAAAAAAATCGAGAAATTTGACTACCGAGTAAAAGTTGGCCTATAGAATTTGTTTATAGGTCAGCAATTCATTTTCGTCGAAGGAAAGAAAATTAGCTTGTTTCAATTCTGCCTCTTAGGCATGCTTAATTCAGCACGTGAAATGGACCGAGCAATGAATAGGGGAAAATATTGTTGGTGTAGACAACCCAAAATTTTCTAGAGGATGAACTTGACTTTACTGTTACCGTTGCTGTTCTCGATGTGGGGAATCCCGAAAAGTGGCAATGGAAAACTCATAAACAAAGTTACAGTAAAACGTGAAATACCTGGTGCTCTTTTGCTTCTTTCAGCCAAAGTTTGTCAACAAAAAGGCAATCGAAGTCATTTCGAGATTCCTGTTTGCCTTCATTTAGATCATCTTTTTCTGTAGGGTTTACCAAGTTTACAGTAGGCCCCGTATTCTGGTAACCGTTGGCAATGCTAGAAAAAGAACAAGCTTCCGACAGCTCTTGCTGGGACATCTCAACTCTAGATGTCAGTTCTTTTAGCTTGTGTTCCAAAATCACACTAAGTGCATCCCTGCCAATAATATTACTCGCCAAGGAAGATGCGCCTGAATTTTTGAAGTCAGATTGATGGTCAGAAGGATTGCTAATGGGAGACAATGATCTAGTCACTTCCAACATTTTACTAGATGAGCTGGATGCAGCCCCTGATTTTTTAATTGGAGATGTAAATGTGAACGACACAACATCCAAGCCATTGTTCCTGTCAAATGCATCCCACTTGGTATTCCCTTCAATCGAAACATTACATTTTACCAATTTTTCATCTTTTGCCATCAATATACTTTCAGCAAGAGTTCTATCAGACTGGATATTCCCATTGATTGGTTGTTTCTTTTTCACAGGTGTATTTACTCTAGAGGATGAAAACTCTTTTCCAGCATCAATGGTAACTGAATTTGTCTTCCTGGAAGGATCTACATTGTTTACAACAATCTTACTTACAGTCTTACTTGCTCGCCCATTAATGTAATTGGTGGGCATATCTTTTCTATCTTTTTGTTGGGAAACTGAAGGCTTATAATTTCCTTCCACCCTGTTGGATACACAATTCTGCTTTTGTTGATTTTGCCTGAGCGCATCAGAAGGCCTGCTTGGTGAACTTCTCTTTTCCACTCTTTTTGGTGCATTGGACTGATTCCTGCCAACACAGTTGGACTTGATCTCATTATGTCCCTTTTGCTTCTCAGAACTTCTGTTACCATCTGGAATTAGTTCCTCCTTTTTCTGGATGTTGCCATTCACTTGAACTGCAAGAGAAACTGATTTTTCCTTTCTCTTAAGTTTCTGAGAACCAACCCGTTTAGACTCTCCAGAACCTTTGATTGAATGTGCATCTTCTGATCGACCCTGACCTCTGCCACTAAGCTGTTTCTTTATGTTCTTAACGGAGTTATGCTCTTTGACCTTTTGGGATGCCACGGCCATTGGAGATGATCTCTGAGCAGCCTCCATTTTCTCTTTCAAACCTTGAATTCTCAATGGGACAGAAGAAGACCCAAGTGCCAGCGACTTACCTTTAGGGGTTGACCGAGGACTCTGCTCAATGATTTTGGCAGCTGCCTCCATTATGTAAGCTGCATTCTTTGGTGGGATGAACCCGGGACTCTTGATAGGAGATAAGAGCCTATGCTGAGTAATGGAAATGGGCTTAGCAGATTTTGGAGGCAATACCTCACTTTGAAACCTCTCAATTGGTCGACTATGCAACTTCTGCAGCCTCGGGTCCACAGGTATCCTAGTGAAGCCATCCACTTTATTCCGTATGTTATCAAAGATTACAATATCATGTTCATTCTGAAACGCAGGGATTCCCAAGTAACGAGAATCTCTGAAAGAGTGAGACTCAATAAACGGAGTAGAATAGGGCTCAGAAACGTTTGTAGTTGGCAATGAATCCAATCCCATTAGACGTGCCACAACCCCAGGTGCTTTTGTTCCACAATCTGAATCACCGCTTGCTGATGAATCATAATGGTAACCAATATGTCTTCTAGCATTTGGACCAAACTCATTTTCAAGTCCATTCGCCTAAAATATATGGCAACATTGTAATCGTAAACGCTAATTGCTTAATTTATCAATCGCCCTGTGTGAATAACTAGAAGGCAAGATAGGAGAGAATTACCTGCTGAAGTCGTGAACCATTAAAATTTTCTTTCCCCTGTTTAGAACTCTCTGAAACAAACAAATTATCCACAACATTAAAACAGCATAGGAAATAGATTAAACCCTGTCAACGGGGAAAAAGTGAAGATCTAGAAAGTTTTAACCGTAAAGGGTAATAAGGAATTACCAGGTAATTCAGATCTACCAGAGAAGAGCTTCTTTCGAGATTTAACATTCCAATCAAACAACTGAAAAAAGCCTCCCTTTGAACCCCTTTTTTCAACCTCCATTTTTATTGTGTATGCCCACAGCACTTCACGTGGAGCACCAAAAATTTCTAACACTTCTGAAGCTTCATCTCATCAGTGCATCGAAAATTTTAATAGATTGAATTTACAAAGAAGAAGAAGAAAAGAAGAAATTCATGTAACTGAGCTTGCATTACGCATTTCATACTCACACGACATTTAGATTCAGAAATAGAACCCAAAGAAAACCCCTAATAAATCATTTAAAGGAAGCACATTTACAAAAATATCATCAAGGTCAAGAAAATCTTTGAGCGCCTAACAACAAAATAAAACTGGACCTTCAACCAAAATCTGAAGATCACGCCACCGTACAGTACAGTGCTCATACATTCATACCCAATTAATTAAAAAGTCCCAAGATTCAAGAATACACACGAGCACAAAGAAATTCAAGAAAATAGAGAAACCCACTTCATTAAAAAAAAAAAATCATATGGTCAAACCTCATTTAATAATCATTCAAACTAGACTTAAAAAACTAAAGTTATTACAGGTCTTTGTGTATATTTATGCATAAAATATAACCACGTTGGAGTTGGTAGTCCTTAAATGAAGAAAAATAGGATCTTTCGAAATGAGACTTACCAGAGAATGCCCACAGTCAAACCGCCGAGGATCGAAAAGCTCAAAGCTTAATTTTATGCTAAAACATTGCAGAGAAGTAAAACTGAGTGGAGTTGAAGATCTGTAATGGGTAGCAAGAAAAAGTTAATATAGGTTTTGAAATTTGATCAGCAATTACCAGCGAATTAGAGAGAGAGACGAAGACAAATAGTTAGAGGTAGTCACGAAATAAGAGAAAATGGGAAGAGTGGGGGAGCGGCGGGGTGGGGTGGGGTGGGGTGGGGTGGATTGAGAGAGAGAGCGAGTGAAGTTTGAAAATAAAGATGAAACAATTTATTTATTTATTTTAAGATTGCGGAAATAAAAAGTAATAAGGGAAAAAGTTATGCCAGTGTTTGATGGCCTTGAAACATAAATATGTGAAAGCGGAAAAAAATTTGAATTTACATGTATAATATTTTATTATATAAATATGTGGTTGAAAATAAGTATAAAAAATAAATTAAATTAAATGCCACCAATCAGGGCTCATTCACTTGTAAAATAATTTAACCCCTGTTTGAATGTCATTATTTCAAAAAAAAAAAAAATTTTAAATGATAATTTTAAGAATAATATGTGATTACAAGTAGAGAAAAATTTTGAATTTACAAATAAAATATTTTATTATATAAATGTGTGGTTGAAAATAAGTATGAGAATTAAAAAAATTAAATAATGATTTTTTTTTAATTTTTTTTGTAAATATGTGATTAAAAAGTAGGTGAAAGTTGTGAAAAAAGTAAAATGATTTTGAAAAAATGAGTATGAAAGATAAGTGAAATTTGATCTCAACCATTTATTCATCAGACATCAACGTCAAGTGGATTGAAAATCTTACTATTTATCCGCAACATAGATAGCAATCTAGAAAATGCTTTGAACGTTATATAACCAACTTGTTTGATCATCCACGGTCTCACGTGTCTTAAATTTTTTATAGGATTACTTCACAAATTACTACAATAACATGTCTCATATTCATTATTTAGAGTCTGTTCGTTTATGCATTTTGGAATAGTTAATCGATAGAGAATGTGTGGTGAAAAAATAAGGAAAATTTTTGAATTTGAGTGTAATATTATTTTATTGAATAACGTGGTTGAAAAGAAGAGAGAGCAAAATGTATTTTAAGAAAAATAGATATCAAACAAGGACTTAGTACTTACACTTATCCAGTTTATAGCACACTCTTGTATACTCTCCAGGTTTACTCTTGACGCTTTCAACTTGGATACTAGAAAACTCTCTGTGGTCCAACTCGTTCCAATCCTAGGTCGAGTTCATATAGTCATATGCGTAATTATTAAAAGCGTCAACGCCTAAATGAAACAACTTATCTCAACTCATAAAAAGAAGAATAATGCTACTTATATATAAAAAGTTGCATAATGATTTACATACAGATGATATGAAGTGTCAAAAGGACATGAGAAAGTATTTTAGTTGAAAATATTCTGATCCATTCATATCTCAAGTATATAAATCATTAGGTAAACCTTTAAAAAAATATTCACAGCCCCCATTTGGCCTCTATTAATTTATAATATATTTTTCTCTCTTCTTTGTAATCACACGTTCTTAAATAAAATAATATTACACATAAAAAAAAAAATTCCTTATTTCAATCACACATTGTCAAAAAAAAATACTGTTTCAAAAATTATAATATCAAATAATGAGACGGGGGCTAATTTCGATTTATATTTAAAAAAAAAATCTTGATAAAACACAACTGTGGACATTTTTGGTACCTATAATTGACAAGTGCTAGATAAAATAATAAAAAAAATATTGATAATTTCTAGTATTTTTCAATACAGTATATGAACATGTCATTGTACATTCATATTAAAAATAAATGAATAGAAACATCATAAATTATGTTTCCAGAAAATATTATGATATTATATTATACGATTAAGCAGACTTCACAAGTCACGAGCCAAGTTTAGAGAACCCTAATCATTCACACTCTAAAAAATTAATACTTCTTACCCTTCTAATAAAACGCCTTGACAAAGGTGAACGTGAGGTCGATTGGAAGAAATTGGTCGCTTTAACAACGGTTAGTGAATGTCAAATTTAACAACCGATGTATCAAATCCAACGCGTTAATTAAGTTAATAAAGTGACAAGTTATGTTACCTAACTTTGTTGACTAAACATACTTCAAAGGTCGGAAAAATCAAGTTTACCAACAATCGAACCAAACATTCGTTCTTTGACACATCAAATACCGTAATGGGCATGGTATCCCAATCGTCAAAGGTAGGAAATCAACGAGTTGAAAGATCTTTGATTTAGCCTGTCTTTACTTAAGTTAGAAAAATATTGACTTGCATACAAGACTAGATCGCTCAAGAAAGACATTTCTTGATTTTCTTTCAAAGGGATGAATTGTCTAAATGAAGGACATGCTTGACTCTATATCAGGCAACAAGAGGAACGAGTAGTATGAACCACATTCGGGGAAGCTTGACGTGGTGGATCAACAATCATGCTACATTTACATTCTTGTTTACATTGAGTTTGACATCATAATACACGGCATTCTTCATAGTCATTAATTTTTACAACATCATTTCACATCATTGACCAGATTTTGATATATAGAGGGGAATGTTAACGACAATGTAAACAATAGTGTGCATATAGCCTAATTCGTGGATCGATATGTAAAAGGTTCTGAAATTTTCAATCGAATTTTGGAAAGCTGATATTAATCTTCTTATTAAGTATTTAATGAATTTTGTTATTTTTATCAATAAAGTAAAAGTTCTATTTTTTTTTTTTTTAAGATTGCCTAAAATGTATCACTTTCTACGTTCTAATTATGTACATTATAATATTTAATCTCATGCTTCAAACTTACATCATTCATAGGCCCCTCAAAGAGACAAATTGGATGCTAAATTTCAAAGAAACCATGAGCATGTCATTTTCAATATTTCAAATCAAAATTTCCATCCGCCACCATTTCAGGATTCAGATTTTGATACTATTTTTTATTCCAATTTCCACGTCAATTAATATTTTTTTGGATTGACTTGATTTGTACGCCCAGTTTCTTCAAGTATTATTTTGGTCTCTCATGATATTGAACAAAGAAAAGAAAAAAAAAAAAAAGGAGGAGGAGGGCGTAACGATAGACTTTAAGGGCCAAGGACTTCCTTTTTCAGAGTTGTCATAAGGGATATATATAAATCAAGAGTACGGCTGGACATAGTCCGGTTTGATTCGGTTCTAAAGAAATCCGAACTGAATCAAAATTTTCTAGTATTTAATAAATGGAACTGTCATGTCCAAATATAATTATGGAACCATTCGGATTCGGTTCGATTTCGTACCATAATTAAATTTTTTAACATTTACAATAATACTATATAAATACAACTAATGACATGTTCATTCGTTGCT